GAAAGGTGGCTAAAGAAATCAAACCTGCTTCAGCTTGGACTGGGACTTCTACCCCCAAGCTGTCAGAAAATAAGTTATGTCATTTTAGTCATCCAGTCTGTGGTATGTGGTATGGCAGCGCCAGAAAACTAATACAATAATGAAAAACAGTACTTGGGTATTTTTGCATGTGGAAAACTGGAGCTGCTTTGTGTTCATCTGAAGCTGTTTAAAGCAGTGCCTAGGGGGCCGGCACTGTGGCGTAGTGGGTAAAGCCGACACCTGCAGCGCCTGCACCCATATGGGCACCAGTTTGTGTCCCGGCTGCTCCACTTCTGATCCAGCTCTCTGCTGTGGCCTGGGAAAGCAGTAGAAGGTGGCCCAAGTCCTTGGGCCCCTGCACCCACATGGGAGACCCAGAAGAAGCTCCTGGCTCCTGGCTTCGGATTGGCACAGCTCCAGCCTTTGTAGCTAATTGGGGAGTGAACCAGCAGATGGAAGACCTCTCTCTCTCTGCCTCTCCTTCTCTGTGTAACTCTTTCAAGTAAATTAATAAATCTTAAAAAAAAAAAAGAAAGAAAGAAACAATCTCACACAGGGCTCAGAAACCTTTCATGTAGCTCTTTTGGAATCAAGTTTACAGAATCCTAATTCGAGAAATCCCTGATTTGACTTGAGCTGCAGTATCAATCGAATGGCTGTTACTCTGGCTCAAGGCAACCGTGTGGGCCTAATTTGCAGATGATGATTTGTGCCTGGTTTGGCACTGGACGATAAAGGTTACAGTTGGGTGAGACACTATTAGTTTCCTCCTATTTCTTTAGTATAATTGCTCAGGACATCTTCCTTTGCTTATTTATTTTCTAGAGTTTTAATGAGCACTGGTAAGAGGAAGGGTGTAATGTGGATTAAGGGGAGGAGTTGGAGGTCGTGGAGAATCTGTGTATAAGGGGAAGGGTAGGGTGGGAAGAGAGCGCTCAGCTGGCTTCCCACCCTTTACCTAAAGCAGTTTGGAAAATCCTATGACTCAGCTCCAGGACTCCTTATTTGGTCCCTGTGTGTGTTTCAAGATGTCATTACCTCTTGTCATATAAATTATTTACAACGGGGAAGTCTCAGTTCCCGGCTGTACTCTAATCAGGTTTTTTAGATAACCCAATTTTAATTCTCATACTGTTCAGTTCCTCACCCCTTATCCTCTTCATCCCACTGCTGCCTCAAACTGCTGATTGTGTTAGATAACATACCACCTTTCATTTCATGGACCAAGAAGTTAGACTATATGACATACACAGGGGCCGGCATAGTGGGTAAAAGCCGCCGCCTGCAGTGCCGGTGTCCCATATGGGCACTGGTTTGAGTCCCAGTTGCTCCACTTCTAATCCAGCTCTCTGCTGTGGCCTGGGAAAGCAGTGGAAGATGACCCAAGTCCTTGGGCCCCTGCACTCTCATGGGAGACTTGGAAGAAGCTCCTGCCTCCTGGTTTTGGATCAGGGCAACTCTGCCCTTGGCCAACTGGGGAGTTAACCAGTGGATGGAAGATCTCTCTGACTGTCTTTCTCTCTCTGTGTAACTGTGACTTTGAAGTAAAAATAAATAAATCTTTTTAAAAAATGACATACATATAATATGCATTTTAAAATTTTTATTGAAGACTTATTATGTGCCCTGTGCACTAAGTGCTTCACATGAAATAGCTCATTTAATTTTCATGGTGTATTAGTGGTGGAGGCTGGGGTCAAGTCTACATTTAATTTTCATGGTGTATTAGTGGTGGAGGCTGGGGTCAAGTCTACATTTCTGGGCATCCACATCAGAACTATATATGAAAACATCAACTCTACCTAAATTGTTTAAACTATCTTGAAGTTACACAATAATTATTTTTTTCGACATGCAGAGTTAGACAGTGAGAGATACAGAATAATTATTTCTAAGTGCAATGACTATAAGTATTAACCTATTTATCATAAGCAAAACATTCTGTTAAAAAAATTTACTTATTTGAAAGGCAGAGATACAAAGAGAGAAGGAGACAGGCTGGGAGGAGAGAAAGATCTTCCATATGCTGGTTCACTCTCCAAACAGCCGCAATGGCTGGAGCTGGGAGAGGAGCTTCTCCCAGGTCTCCCACGTGGGTGCAGGGACCCATGGACGTGGGCCATCTTCCACTGCTTTCCCAGGCACATTAGCAGGGAGCTGCATCAGAAGGGGAATAGTAGGGATTCGAACCATTGCCCATATGGGATGCCAGCAACTGTAGGCTTAACCTTCTACTCCACAGTGCCGGCCCTCAGGCTATGTTTTAAACACTTCAATTCAGTGCATTAAAACAAAGCTCACTGCACTAAACAAATTTATTATACAACTCTAAAGATCTTCAAAGTGGGCCGGCGCTGCGGCTCAATAGGCTAATCCTCCGCCTTGCAGCGCCGGCACCCCGGGTTCTAGTCCCGGTCAGGGCGCCGGATTCTGTCCCGGTTGCCCCTCTTCCAGTCCAGCTCTCTGCTGTGGCCTGGAAAGGCAGTAGAGGATGGCCCAAGTCCTTGGGACCTGCACCCCATGGGAGACCAGCAGTACCTGGCTCCTGCCTTCGGATCAGCGCGATGCGCTGGCCGCAGCGGCCATTGGAGGGTGAACCAACGGCAAATAGGAAGACTTTTCTCTCTCTCTCACTGTCCACTCTGCCTGTCAGAAAAAAAAAAAAAAAAGATCTTCAAAGTATAACTATGTATGGCTTAAATTTCAATACAATGCCTCATTTTATCTCATTTGTATTTATCCACAACAAATCTCAATACTCTGGTAGTAGTAAAAAAATTTAAGCAGCAAAATCAGGAAAAAAGAGTTTAATTCATCAACTAAAAATTTTTGAATAGTTGCTAATTTGGGAGTAAAACCCAGAATATCTTTTTCCCTCACTGAATAGCTATATTATCTATCATCTAAATAGACTCAGTCTCAAGGGACAAATTACCCTCTGTGTCCCAAACTTCTAGTGTAACTGGGGAATTCAAAACACAAAAATGACTTCTCACAGATTAGTTTTTATCATGAACACTTAAGTGTTTTCATCAAAGCTTCTCTTTTCCTTTCTCTGTCAAATGTTTCTGTGTATGGTATTAAAAAAGAAATTTGGAAAGTTCTTTTTTAGAATTTATTTTTAATTGAAATATTGGTAAATTTAGCTTAAAATACTATTTTATAAGGGATCTTTGAAGAGGCTTTACCAACTAAGGTAAAGACATTACGTTATCTGAGTTGCCTGTCGCGGGAAGTTGGGTAGCTTGCTTTACCTAAACAGGGAAGTTGGCATGTCTGCCTAGCAACAGCCGCTAAAACCTAAACCTGCTGTAGTGGAGCAGGGAGGAGGAGGAGACACAGGAGGAACAGATTAATCTGTTTTTCCTTGCAGGAGACAGAGGTCTGGTTGTTGGAGGAGCAAAAAGGCCATCATGCCTTAGGTCGGCACCCCCTGAGAAGGCTAGAAACTTGCTCTTTGTAGGGCTGGGGTGGTTGCTACAGTAGCTCCTCCTTCTCAGCGGGGTATATGTTTATAAACACACTAAGCTTTTTCCTATCCGTTCGTACCTACGAGGAAGTTTAATTCCTAAATTAGGCACAGTGAGAGAGTAACAAGAATGAACAAGTATAACAATATGTTGCAGTGAAATCTATTTACACTTTACTTTTGGAATTTTCCATTTAGTATTTCCGGTAACTGAACTCTGAAAGTGAAATCCCAAATAAGGGCGCACTGGGATTCTCCTGGTAGTAGGTTAAACGGGTTCCAGAGCTGGCTCACTTCAAAGGCAGGAAATCCCAATCAGCAGAGACTTCCAGAAGCTAAAAGTAGCAGCAGCAGGAGGGTATTGACAACCAAAAGGAACTCAGCTTCAGGCGTGTGGTTTATGTTGACAAATGACGTGAACACAGTCACAGCGACGCGGTGTAGCAAGTTAAAGGCAGGGCGTCTCCAAACGTTAGCACTTTTCTTGCTATTGACGAACGCAGCGAGGAAGGGCCCGGAAAACCAACGCTGCTGTCGGCCAGGACCGGGAGATAAGAGCTCGGCTCTCCGGTTTCGGTGCCTTCCACACCGCTGCACGGTGCAGAAAGGATTTCGCCGCTGTCCCTTCTCAAAGGCAGGCGTGGGACCCAGGAACGGCCCTGAAGGGGTCTCCCGGCCGCCCGCCCGCAGCAGCTGGGGCCGTTCTGACGGTCCACGGAGGCCGGGGAGGCTCGGGAGCACTCGGCGCCCAGCCGCGTCTGTGCGCCTGGTCACCCGGGAGGGCCAAGCCGGGGAGGTGCAGACCCCGGGTACAACCAGAGCCGCAAACGGGGGCTGGGGGCAGAGGTCACACGGAGAGGACAGGCGCTGAGAGCCGGGAGCCTGCAGGGAGAGCGAGTGCGGACTCCAAGGAGACCGCCCAGGCCTCCGGCTCCCGCTCGCCGCTGGCCACCTGCCCGCCGCGCGCCGCGGTCCGGGGTGTTGGCGGCGGTGACTCAGAGCGCCCCGCCCCGCCCGCTCGCCCCGCCCCGGGGGAGGGGCCTCGCCCTCGTCTCCGCCCCGCGCCGCGGCCCCGGGCGTTGGCGGCGGTGACTCAGAGCGCCCCGCCCCGCCCGCCCCGCCCCGGGGGAGGGGCCTCGCCCTCGTCTCCGCCCCGCGGCCCCGGGCGTTGGCGGCGGTGACTCAGAGCGCCCCGCCCCGCCCGCTCGCCCCGCCCCGGGGGAGGGGCCTCGCCCTCGTCTCCGCCCCGCGGCCCCGGGCGTTGGCGGCGGTGACTCACAGCGCCCCGCCCCGCCCGCTCGCCCCGCCCCGGGGGAGGGGCCTCGCCCTCGTCTCCGCCCCAGGCTCGGGGCGGGCCGGAGTCTGAGGAAGAGGAAGGGGACGAGGACAACGAGCGACGGGGCGGCGGAAGACGAGGAGGAGGAGGAGGAAGCGGAGGCAGACCTACAAGATGGCCCCTGCTGCAGGAGCAGCCTCAGCAGCAGCAGGTGGGAGGCCGGAGGCGGCGCTGGCGGCGGCGGCGGCGGCCGTGGCCCGGAGGCCTGGGACGGAATCAGCGTCGACGGTGGTGGCAGCAGCGGCGGCGGCGGCGGCTGCCGCGGCGGTGGCGGCGGCCGCTGGGACTCGGAGCTGAGAGGAGCTGCGGCTCGGACCAGCGCGGTGAGCGAGCGGCGGGCGGGCGGGCGGGGAACAATAGGCAGCTGCGGCGGGGCGGGCGCCGCGCTCGCCGGCCCGCGGGCCTCAGGCCTCCGCGTGCGGCCGGGAGGGAGGCCGGGCGAGGGCCGTGAGGAGAGGCCGCCGCCGGGCCGGGCGGGCCGCCGGTGCGCGCAGGAGGCGCTTTCCGGACGGCCCCTGGCTGGGGTGGGGGAGGGCGAGGCGGCCTCCCGGCCCCGAGCGCCCCTCCCCGCCCGGGGCTCGGCGGCTCTGCGGAGCTCCTGGGGTCGAGCCCGCTCGCTGTCTGCCGGGTCGGCGCGGGGGAGGCGGTGTGTGCAGGTGTCTCTTGAAGGGAAAGGTGAAAGCCGCCAAGTGCGGCCGCAGCAGACACGCCGCGTGGCCGTCGATGAGGGGTGGAGACGAGGCTCGTCCCCGTCGGCACCCCGCAGTCCTCTCTGAACCCGGTTAGGACCGCGTCCCGGATGGGCCGAGTGGGCGCAGGAATCATACAGCTCCGGACATCCCAGAATAGCCCGAGACTGGAAACAAAGCAGCCTGCTGGCAACACGGACACAGACTGCAATGTTCAGTAGAACTTTTTTTTCCGTCAATCGCGCCGTGTTGAATTGTTACCGTGTAGCCCAAAAGCCAACAGCATTAACTAGCCAAAAATGTACCTACCGTAGCCCTTCTTGAGGGGACAAGAGGTGGTTTAGTCTCCAAGCTGTCCTGTCCCATGTTCTGACTTGGCCTTTCAGTATTTGTCCTAGAATTACCCCACATCGATCTTTGCCTGAGCCTCCAATTTGATTTCTTAAGCATATTTTAGAAGACTTCAAAGGCTAGAGACGACTGCGGTTCTGTTTTGAGTGTTTCGACTTAGCAGGAGACAGCTCTTAGCACTGAGTACTTAGGGCAGTTGCGCCTGGAACTTGACATAGCTAACTGCAATATTTGCCTTGAACTTTAGGTTTCGAGGGATCTGCCACAGTCAGTCTCTTCCGCAGGTGCGGAAAATTACACTGAAGTTGCTTGGATGCGTCCAAAAGATTGCTTCCCCTTGATTAACGTTCAGTTGCATGGTCCAACTAAGGCAGTTAGTTTGAGATTTTAGGAGGAGGATTGAGCTGTGCAGAGAAGATATCAGTTAATAAGTGTCCCTCACTTTGAGGGTGAATTTCTGATTAGCTTGGTCCATGTCTGTGGTAATTCAAAGCATTTTTAGATTCTCTGAGTAACAGTAGTTCCCAGTTTTCCCACAGGAATTGATGGTCATAGACTAGCAATTGAGTAAACATGGACTGCTACAGGTTTTGAAGCATAGTAGATGAACATCAATAATGACATTAATTTTATGCCTTGCATAAATAATGTAGATGTTTTGATTTTTTTGACCAGTGGAGAAAGAATAACTTCATATGACTCCTGTTGATGTGATTTTTTTTTTTTGGAATTAAGGGATTTAGAAAGACAACTTTTTTTAAAGTGCTCAATTGTGTGAATTTTTGTATGTATGTGTTCTTTTAGGAGGTCTGTATGGAATCCAAAACAAGCCTATATTGTAATAAATCTTAAATTTACCTGGGGTCCTAAGTCTATTAAAACAATTACAGTTCTTTATGAATTTGTGAATTTTAAGTAGCTAATGTACCTAGTTAAGATTTTATAAAAGTCATGTTGTATCAAGGATTAATTTACCTAGTATTTATCATTCTCTTGAAAACAAAGATAATTAAATAGTAATCTTTTATATTAAAATTTGATGCTGACTCAACAATTGTTAGGCTGAGTTTGGGTCCCTGTTTCTGTTTAATATAAAAAAAAAACCCTCACAGAGCCTGGTTTTCATTTTGTGTCAGAACTGTTATGATTCCTCACTTATATCTCCAGTATCAGTATTTATTCTGATTATTTCAGTTCAGATTTTCTCAATCAGTATTTAAAACAGTTTCTTCTACGGGGTTTTGGGACTATAGCTTAAGAGTTAGATTTGCATTTTATTGGTAATATTGAAAGTTAAAATATATATCTTTTTCATTTTAAGAGATTGGAAAGGGAATTATATGTATAAAAAATTACAGTTTTCAGAACTTGCTTGTTGAGTGAATAAAAACATCTCTTTTTAATCCCAGTTATGTTGCAATGTTAAATGCTTTTAATTTACCTATAAAGAATCTGAGGCTATGAGAAGCTAGATAGCTAACAAAAATTCACATAATTAATGGATAAATGAGTTTATGCAAACCCAGGTTGTGACACAAATTAGATGCTGTATTTGTGCCCTGCCAGATACCCATCTACAGGACCAAGAAAATATTCGTGTGAATCAAAAAACAAAACTTACATTTGTTTTTAGCAAGTCTGAATGCCACAAAATATAGAAACTAATACCATTTACTTAGAACAGATTTGTGGTATCGACATCATTGCTTCATGACTTTAGCTTGTTATATAAGCAATTAATAAATTGTATTTTTGATATGGTTTATGAAAATTGCAAAACAATTTTAATAATATTCAGTGATGTTAAAGTTTTCATTTATAATTTTTTCCCTTAAATCCATAGATCATTTAGAATTCTGCAGTATTTTTAAGAGTTTGAAATGGAATTTGAGGGGGTCTCAGTCAACTCTTGCAATTATCTTGAAAATGGTCGGTATCCAACAAAGTGAAGGATACACTTGACAAATGATCCCTATTCGGTGAACGCCTCAGATCAAGATGTTCCTTGGCAGGCTGTTCTGACCTGGTTTAGCTTTGGCCTGTCTATGCTTAGGGGTTTGGATATCCTTCAGGATTGGCTTCAGAGGGACTGATTAATCCCATAGGCTTGTAACAAGACAGTCAGTGATTTCAAAATCAGCCCTTTTTCTTCGGATCTTTTATTTATTTATTTACCTGTTTATCTGCGAGGCAGTAAAACAAGGAAAAGAGAGCTCCCACTTGCTGGTTCACATCCCAGAAGCCCACGATGCCTGGGGCCAGACTGGGGCTGAAGGTAGGAGGGGTCTCAATTCAGGTCTCCCATGTGGGTGGCAGAAACCCATCTACTAGAACCATCCACACTGCCTCCCAGACTTTGCTTTAGGAGGAAGTAGTCAGGAGCACCCAGGCACTCTGATATCAGCCATGGGCATCTTAACTGGCATCCAGACTAAATGCCTGCCCCGGGATCCTCATTGCAAGCTCCTTTTTTGTTAATCCTGGAGTCTAGGTTGGATTTGGACTAGCCTTGAGAGTTGTGATACAAGGTGAATTTTGTCAGACATTTCTACCAAGAAAATTTTCTTAACTTCAAAGTTTCTTTACCATTCCTTATATTTGTGCCTTCAAGTGTTGAAATTTACCAGTGTAAAGTAATGTTGCCCTATATCTACAAAGCAGTTAGCTTTAGTATTTTTACTTCTATCCACTATTGATCAGAGTTGTGCCTTTAACTTCTTACATAACATTTAGTTTGTTTTTTTATATATTAGAATAGTGATTTCTTCTCAGTTTATAATTTTTTTGATTGCTTTCCCATAATTTGTATTTGCCTTCAAGTTTATTTATTTATGTTTTTTAAGATTCTATTTATTTGAAACGCAGAGTTACAGAGAAACAGAGGCAAAGAGAAAGAGAGGTCTTCTATCTGCTAGTTCACTCCCCAAGTGGCCTTAACATCCGGAGCTTCCCCGATCAGAAGCCAGGAGTCTTCTGGGTCTCCCATGTGGGTGCAGGGGCCCAAGGACTTGGGCCATCTTCTACTGCTTTCTCAGGCCACAGCAGAGAGCTGAATTGGGAGTGGAGTAGCCAGGACCTGAACCGCCCCATGGGACACTGGCACTGCGGGTGCTGCCTTTACCCGCTACACCACAGTGCTGGCCCCTCCATTCAGTTTTGAGCTCCCGAAATCAATTCTATCATAGAGGAATAAATATTTTAAGAATCATATACTTTTTTTGAAATTGTTTACTGACGTTTGTAATATATTAACAATGTTGGAAACCATCACCTTAATTTCTAAACATTGTCATTACCCCCAAAGGAAACATTGTACCCATTAAGATAACACTCCTTTATCCTCCTCACCCTTATCCCTGGCAGTCACCATCTCTTTTACATCTTGTGGATTTAAATGAAATTATTTTGAGCCACGATTGAGAGTACTATGTACGATTGAAATTGCATACAAAACTTGGGAATGTCATAGCAAGGAATCAAATACCACCTCACTCTTCACAATACTTCTTTTTATTTATTTATTTATTTTGTTTATTTAAAAGACAGATTTACAGAGAGAGGTAGGGCCATAGAGAGAGAGAGAGAGAGAGAGAGAGAGAGAAAGGTCTTCTGTCTACTGGTTCACTCTCCAAATGACCACAACGGCCAGAGCTGAGTTGATCCAAAGGCAGGAGCCAGGAGCTTCCTCCTGGTCTCCCACGTGAGTGCAGGGGCCCAAGGACTCGGGCCATCCTCAACTGCTCCCAGGCCATAGCAGAGAGCTGGATCCAAAGAGGAGCAGCTGGGATTCCAACCAGCGCCCATATGGGATGCTGGTACTGCAGGCCAGGATGTTATCCCACTGTGCCACAGTGCCAGACCCTCACAGTACTTCTTTTAGTAGACATGTTGTTAGGAACTCTATGGAAGACAGAGTTAAGGGTCACAGTAGTGTATAGTTTTAAGATGTGATCACTCCAAAGACTGACCAAAACTCTCAGATTCATTTGTACTTCTTCACTGGGTTGTGAAAATTAACTAAATTTAAAAATTTTTTTTGCCTTTTGGGTTTTCTTAATGTGTAGAAGAAAATTGGGATATTAGCAAGATTTCTTTGAGGTTACATTGAGAAATGATATTTAGAATTATATTGGAACTCTGATCTCTGAGTTAACTTTATGACTTAGCCAATTTTTAAAGTTTTTATATATTTCTACGTTGTTTTTTTTTTTTTAAAGATTTATTTATTTATTTGGAAGGCAGTGTTAGAGGGAGAGGAGTGAACCAGACATCTGCTGGTTCAC